ACAATATTTTGAGCGTGAGTTCGAGTGCAAACGACCACTAATTAGTTCATGCCCGCCCCTGCCGCCGCCGCAGCTAAACACCCACCGCATCTAGTCATTTATACAAGGTCTTCGAGGTCATGCGTTTCCTCAGAATTCGACAGCAACTGAGCTTGCTCTTGGCTTGTACCGTCTGAGGCATTCTTTGAAGCGTGGCGTTTCGGGGCACGGACGACGGTTTCCAGCGCGCCGGACTTAGTGATCCTAAAACCGTAGATTTTAATTCGTCATATAGACATTGAAGCTGAAGTTTCTTACTGCCTGAATAGGATCAACAATGAATCTTGTTTTTCAGCATCACAAAACAGTTACATAACCAGGTTGAGCAAACAATATATCCCAGGAAGAGCAAAATTCTGATGGATATGAAAGAACAGCATTATACGTACAACACCATGAGATCAAGAACTAACACAGGCTCGGCTTGATCAAGTAGTCCTGCTTGACAGCTTCATGATCTTGCAGAGACTAGGCTGAAAACGAGATAATCGCCTTCCTGAAGAGCTCGGTCCTCGCCGAAATGCTCACATACGTAGAGCGCGTAGAGTAATTTCAGAACAAACATTCAGAGATACTGATGTGCAGAGAAGGCAAAGTGTTGTCTCTAACGGTCTCTAACCATCCTCCTTTCTCAACCGAGCTTGGGATCGGCAACGGCGGAGCTTCCGGACTGTTAAACATGCTAATATAGCGTACTGCAATTATCGCATCCAGTAGAACCTGTTTTTAAATTCAGAAGAGCTGCGTGCATGTCATTCCTTCATCTTATGACCATTTTCTTAATAACAGGGAGATTGTGAAGCGAACCCTGAGTACTTTGCGAGAATCCGACGGTCGTTTCCATACTTATATTGACATGCCTTCTGGTGAAAAATTCGGCTACTTCCACAACAGCGGTAGAACTGTCATGAAAATGTTAGACAAGTTTCATAGTAACCGCTGTATCTGCTGTGTGTGAAACGTTGTCTTACAATGATTCTTTCGCTAACAGCGCCGAAGCATCGTTGCTCGGTTGCTGCTCTGCCTGTCGAACACGTAAAAAACCCAATGGCAAAAATTTTTTCCTGATCATGTTTCGACGTTGCAACATTGTCATCCTCAATATACTCTATGACACGCGCACCTCTCATTCGTGAAGAACATAACATGCGCTTAATGCTAGCAGGAGCAAAATCGTAATAATTCTATGGCCTCACGTGATTGCTCAGAATTATATAATTAAATATAAATTCTCTGGAATTCAAAAATTTGATCAAAGTTTCGCAATATATTCATAGGGATCTACTCATCGATCGACAATCAACGTGATTAAAAAAGCGAAAAGGGGACTGAAATAGGTGTCTGCAATATGCAGAGCTCCAGTTCTCAGCCAAATAACTGTCCGCCGATTTCCTGACTTGGCATAGCCAACTATGATGAAATCATAAAATAACATAGAATGTTCTAAATTTACAAATTCGCCAACCTACTGATGGACGAATGATGGTTAAATCAAGCATATCATACTTTTATCTTTGAGTCAATTACATGGATGCAACTCGCAACTAGACGACTGC